GTCCCTGTGGTAAAAGAACAAGGTTTTAGTTATATGCTTTTAGCATGGGGGTAGGTTCACAGCAGAAGCACACAGCCAGGCTCTCTGATTTCAGGCAGGAGGCAGGACAGACATGTGACACAGGACAGGTCACTCTATCATGAATACTCACTTAGGTTAGTGAGGCACCCACAAGGCAGCCAATAGGGACTCATTTTGAGTAGAGCTCCATCGTGTCTCTATCTGTGACAGTAGAAAGGCAGTTACAGGGCAGCATGTACATTGGAGATTCTAACATTACATGCTGACAGAGTATGCACCAGCCACTCAAAAACATCACCATGCTGTGTTTTAAGAATTAGAATGCCTGGGACTGGAGAGATGGCTTATCAATAAGGATCACTGACCACTTTTCCAGAGGATCTGGTTCAATTCCCAGCACCCACATGGCAGCTAACTGTCTATAACTCCAAGGGCTGGCATCCTCACACAGACATACTTGCAGGCAAAATATCAATGCAAATAAAAATAAATAAATTACTTTAAAAGACTAATTTAGTGCCTATAATATAAAAATCATAGATGATTTTACTTTTGTTAGATTATTAATTCATTCAGGAAAGGCAATGTTCTAACTTCATAACTCCAATTTTCTTTTTGCGTAATACTTCTTCCATAATTGTATTTCATGGGAAAGCCTTTCCTCTGATTGAAATAAATGCCAATGGGTATTGTGCACAGTTAGAATCACACACATTTGTGGCACTGCTCAAGAGCGTTGTGGCCAGAGCTGTGCTCTTCTGGTCACCTTTATTGTTTTCACTGAGGTTAGAGTCTGATGCCAGACTGAAGCACAAAGTCAAATCTTTGCACAGATATGTGAGTGGAATTGTGTCTGCAGAGAAAGTTTATGAAGATCTAGATGGCTGGCTGAGCATTTTATGGTTTTAATTCACAAGGAAAGGGAGGGGAGGCATTGGTTAAAATCTTTAAAAGACAAAGACATAGGGCTCATTCCTCTAACACCTGTTGTTCTGTGATGTTTTGATTGTGTTCTGACTAAAAAAGTTGTTGTGGAGTCAGAGGGCGGAATTAACCACTAACTGACTATAGAGATTTAGAGGACTGTCGACAGAGAGGAGACAGGAAATAGGAAGGCGGGGCTGAGAAAGGATCTCATCCCTTTTGGACAGAGGAATGGAAGAGATAGGAAGCAACTGGAGGTTGCACCTGTTCTCTGATCTTTCATGTTCTTACTCCAATATTTAACTCCTGATTTTTATTTATAAATATTAATTAGATTAACGATTCAACCTATACTCGACAGTTTGTGGTAGGAATACTGCCAGGAACTGGCACCCAGAACACCAGTGAGTTCTAAACCAGTCTGTGATGTCAAGTAAACCTCTGCCTTGAAAACAAAAGTTGTAAAGAATTTTACATTAATTATTAATAACTCAGAAGAATCAGAACATCATAGCATTGATTGACAGCCATTGTGTCCACAGCAAGAACAACAGTTCAATTTCTTGACCTCATCAAGATGTGAAGTTTGGGCTAGGGGTTTAGCTCAGGGATGGGACACTACTAGTCCAGCATTCACAAGGTCCTAAGTTCAATCCCTGAAGTGCAAAGACCAAACTAAAACAATAACAGCAAAAGCCCATGGTCTCAGCAGTAGGGAGGCTGCTGGAGTTAGAGCTCAGATAGAAGTCAGGCTGGGGTGACTGTGCTAGCCTGTCTCTAAAGAATCAGAATAGAGGAGAAGTAGACAAGTATATAAAACAAAACTCAAGCTACAGTGTCATGTCTGCTGTCACTCCTTATGTCTTATATTAGTAGATCTGAGAATATAAGGAACAAATGAGATAGGAGTACGGGGGGGGGCAGGGTGAGACTGAAAATGGTGACTGCCCATTGTTCCCTATTGTTTCCCTTACACAACTTTTAAGAAAGTTTCTCATGTATCTCAGGCTGTTGGCATCAAAGTTTCCTGTTGCTGGGGATGGGCTTTGAGAGCCTGGTCCTCCTGCTGCCAGCTCTGAGTCATGGGATCCTGTGGTGGTTTGAATAAGAATGACCTCCATTTGCTCTATCTTTGAATACTTGGTTCCCAGTCTGTGGGACTGTTTGGGACAGATTTGGAGGTTTGGCATTATTGGAGTGTATGTGAAATGAGTGTGAGATTTCAATACGTCCTGGCCATTCCCAGTGTCTCTCTATCTCTGCCTCAAGTTTGTGTCTCAAGTGTGACCTCTCACCTCCTGCACCAGCACCATTCCTCGATATCTGCTGCTCCCTACCATGGTGGTCATGACCTCTTACACTTTGAAACTAAACTCAAATTCAAACACTGTCCTTATCAGGTGCCTAAGCCATGGTGTTTATCAAAGCAATAGAAGAGTAACTAAGACAGACTACATGCATGTGCCACCACACCTGGGTTTGTACACAGCCAAGAATCCACCCCAGGGCTCCACTGTGCTAGGCATGCACTGTGCCAGCTGAACATCATTCAGATCTCTAACCATTTTCAGTTTAATTCAGGGGATGCTGAGGCAATATTAGAAGTCTTCAATAGAAACCCTAACTCAAATGGTGACCTCCTGAGACATTCCGGTGAGGGATTCCTGGAAGGGATGCAATGAGTGTATCATATCATCAGTGTGAAGAGGACTTGGTCTGTTCAGCAACAGAAGATACAATCTGTGGGACAGCACTGAGCAGCTGGAGAGCCCGCTGCACTTGCTAGTCTCATTGCTGTGAGTGTGGGGAAGTGTTTCTGCATGGTTCTGCAGGGGAATCCTTCCCATTCTTTCCCTGCTGGGTGCGAAAATTGCTGTGAGTGTGGGGAAGTGTTTCTGTATGGTTCTGCAGGGGAATCCTTCCCATTCTTTCCCTGCTGGGTGCGAAAACTTGATTGTACAACAGCTTCCCTGTATGCATCTTCTTTTCTGTTCTCATCCTGTAAGTGCCCAAGTCCATCTCCAGAGGAACAGTGCAGTTCTCTGTCACTCACCTTCCCTTTGGGCTACACCTGCCACCCAAAGCAAAACCCGGCCATGAGCTCAGGTACAAGAGGAGCCCAGGGGAATACTTTCTGTTCATCACTGGCAGCTTTCCCAAGGGTCTGAATCTTTTAGGGTGATTGTGACATGAGCCTGAACAAGCGATATAACAAGTTCCTTTTTTATTTTAATTTTTTTCACTTTACATACCAATCATAGTTCCCCCTCCCTCTCCTTCTCCCACTCCCTTCTTCCCTATTCCCCTCCTCAAAGAGGGTAAGGGTAGTCAACAAAGTTGAAGCAGGACCAAGCCCCTCCCTGTGTATCAAAGCTGAACAAGGTATTCCACCAATAGGGAATGGGATCCAAAAAGCCAGTTCGTGCACCTGGGATAAATCCTGGTTCCACTGCCAGGGTCCACACAAACAGGTCAAGCCACTCAACTGTAACCCACATTCTGAGTGCCTAGTTCAGTCCCATAAGGCTCCCCAGCTGTCTGTCCAGAGTCCGTGAGCTCAGTGAGTACTAGCTCAGGTCAGCTGTCTCTGTGCATTTCCGAATCTTGATCTTTCCTCCCTCTTTTTGACTGAACTCCAGGAGCTTGGCCCTGTGCTTAGCTATGGATGTCTGCATCTTCTTCCATCAATTAATAGATGAAGGTTCTATAATAACAATTAGGGCAGTCATTAATCTGATTACAAGGAAGCCAGTTTAGGTACCATCTCTATTTTGGCTAAGAGTCTTAGCAGAGTTCATCCTTGTACATTCCTTGGAATTTCTCTAGCACCAGATTTCTCCTTAACCCCATAATGGCACCCTCTATCAAGATATCTCTTTCTTCGCTCTCCCTCTCTGTCCCTCCCCCAACTGGACCATCCTGCTTCCTCATGTTTTCATCATACTCCTCCACCCCTCATGCTCCCAGTTTCCTCCTTCATAGGGAAATTCATGCATCCCTCTTAGGTTCTCCTTGTTACCTACCTTCTCTAGGGTTGTGGATTGTAGCTTGATTATCCGTTACTTTATGTCTAATATCCACTTATGAGTGGATAATATCACTTATAAGTAATATATTTTTTCTGAGTTTTGGTTACTTCACTCAGGATGACTTTTTTCCCCCTAGTTCCATCCATTTGCCTGCAAATTTCAGAGGTTAATTTTTTTCCCACTGAGTAAATACTCCATTGTGTAAATGTACCACTTTTTTTTTTAAATCCATTCTTTGGTTGAGGGACATCTAGGTTGTTTTCAATTTCTGGCTATTATAAATAATGTAGAATAGATAATAAAACCCAGAGATAGATATTAGGGTTCAGGCTTCAAGCTGAAGATCAGAGAAGCAAAGCAGCCAAGTCACTAGCTCTTGCCTCTACCCAGGCTGAAGCAATTCTTCCCTCAATGTGACT